TGAGGAGAATGCTGAGCAATTAGAAATACAAACACCTGAATCGCCTTCAGATTCTCCTCCCCCAGGAGACAGGCTGAGGGCCAGGCTTGGGGAAGACTTATGATCAGAAGGTCAGAGGATAGCTTGAAGGCTGCCCGCAGAAACATCCAATCAACTAGCCATGAGTACTGACAGGATGAAAAGGCTTCCAGCAGTTCAAGGGGCTGTTTTACTATATAAACAGCTCTCAGATGGCTGAAAATCCGTGGAAGCAACAAGTCAAACCTCTGGCTTGCATCCACGCCCCTGACAACCTTGAACTGTGTTCTCTGGACTCTTGGCTCTGGACTCTGACCCTGGACTACGTTGTGCATTTTGGCTTTGGATTCTGACCCTGGACTACGTTGTGTGAGTTGGCTTTGGTATTTGGATATCGGCTCTGCATTCCCTGAATTCCTGACTTTGGACTGGCTTATCGGACTCTGCTGTTGTAACCCCCCGGGAACGTGACATGTACTCATTTTTGTTGCCAGCAGTTTAGACATTTAATGGCTGTGTGTTGCATTATTTTGAGGGGACAGCACATTTACGCTGTTATACAAGCTGTGTACTCACTGCTTTACATAATAGCCAAGTGTCATTTCATGTTGTCACATGAAAAGACATGGGGTTTTTAAATGGATGGCTGTGCCTTACTGCTCAAGTGATATACTGTATATTTGATCCCCATGGCCTTCACTGTTCATAGGCATCAGTCCAGAGAATCACAAATTCCTAGGATTACCTATCCTATAAATGTTGGTCTTAGAATAAAAGATTACTTCATGGTGTTGACTAGAGATGGGCACAAATCACTTCATGCCAGGTTGTCTAAAGTCACTGGCACGACACCACCGGTGCTGCATGTTCCCTGCCCTCCACCCCGTCCAGCTCCCCCACTCACTACCCAGCGTGCTCTAATCTTTCCCTCCTCTTTGCGTGATCTTCCAGTCCCGAGAGAAACACGAACTTCCTCCAGCAGCCTTCCACTCGAGGAGTGCGCTGCAGGAATACCTGCCCCTCCTCCTTGCCTGAGTAATGCCACGTCAATGACTTTAGACGACCTGACATGAAGCGATTCATCCCCATCCCTACTGTTTAAATTCTGGAAAGTCTCAGAGTTTCAGAGTAGTAAAGTAATATAGGACTTTTCTCTCTCTCCCCCCCCTTTTTAGATGGAATTAGTGTGAGTGGCCTTCCACTTTCTAGTCCCTTTCGACAAGTGATAAAACCACGAGTTGAGAGTAAACCTATAAATCCTCCAGAAACAACCAAAGTTGGTGACTTCAGTCATGTAAAGGTAAGTGATTTGTATCCTAGTACAGTAGTTGGTTTTGTAGCCTTTGTTGATTATTCCTCACGGGGAAGCTTATGCATGTTTTGGAATCTGCCGAAACTGCAATGTCAAGCAGATCCTTGCGTTTGCAATGCTGGCTTCTTCAGAGAAAGTCGTTTTAGTGTACATTTCTTTTCGCTTCGAAAACTTGCATTACAGTGGGGTCTTGACTTAAGAACGGCTTGAGTTAAGAACATTTTGACTTAAGAACCACTCTCATAGGGAAATATTGACTTGACTTACATACTTAGATTTGAGTTAAGAACTGAAAAAAAACCACGTGGGAGGCAGGGAAAGTGCAAAATTTGAGTAAAGTAATATAGGACTTTTTTCTCTCCCCCCCCCCTTTTTAGATGGAATTAGTGTGAGTGGCCTTCCCCTTTCTAGTCCCTTTCGACAAGTGATAAAACCACGAGTTGAGAGTAAACCTATAAATCCTCCAGAAACAACCAAAGTTGGTGACTTCAGTCATGTAAAGGTAAGTGATTTGTATCCTAGTACAGTAGTTGGTTTTGTAGCCTTTGTTGATTATTCCTCACGGGGAAGCTTATGCATGTTTTGGAATCTGCCGAAACTGCAATGTCAAGCAGATCCTTGCGTTTGCAATGCTGGCTTCTTCAGAGAAAGTCGTTTTAGTGTACATTTCTTTTTGCTTCGACAACTTGCATTACATGGAACAGCATCACGCAACGTAACAGCAGCCCTCCACATTTTGCTGGAATATAATTCCCACCGTTCCCAGTCCGGCCCCATCTTTGCTGTCCTTCCACAGCCTGTCTTTTCAGGCTAGCTTTTCCTTAATGACTGGCTGCCTGAGTGGGGTTTTTAAATGGATGGCTGTGCCTTACTGCTTGGAATACATTTTCGGGGTTGCTCTTGTTTAATATCTTTTAGTGTGGTATTTGTTTGATCCTTTTTAGTATTTTTATTTCTCCCGTTTTTAGCTTTAAATAGTGTGTTTTAAGGATGTAAGCTGTCTCGGGTCTTTCTTAAGGAGAAAAGTGGGAATGAATGAATGAATGAAACAACTCCCCACGATGAGATTTGCTGGGTAGCACTGTTGGTAATTGCAATCCAGCAATATTTAGGGAACCACAGTTTCTTTCCCCCAGTGAAACAGGACCATGTATATTCGCCGAAGTGCTGTTGCTTAGTGTAGTAAATTGCAGTAGAGTAGGGCTGTTGAATCAATAGGCTTTTAGTGAGTCAACTCATCCATAAGTTCCATGTATGCAAATAGGCCTGCTCTAACTGTGACTTATTTCATCACAGAAAATTGCAATTAGAGTAGGCCCATCTGAATCAATGGAATGTATGTAGGAGTTGTCTCATTAAAACCCCTTATATTCATTTGACCTGGTGTGCAACACCAGTTGGGCTGCTATGAGTTCCAAAACAAGAGGAACTTCAGATATTGCCACAGCTAATTAGAGCAAGGTGCTGCATGTTCACTGGAAGCACAGATCCTGAAGCTGAGGCTCCAATACTTTGGCCATCTCACGAGAAGAGAAGACTCCCTGGAAAAGGAGCTCATGGTTTGGAAAGTGTGAAAGCAAGAGAAGGGGACGACGGAGGACGAGATGGTTGGACAGTGTCATCAAAGCAACCAACATGAATTTGACCCAACTCCGGGAGGCAGTGGAAGACGGGAGGGCCTGGCGTGCTCTGGTCTATGGGGTCACGAAGAGTCGGACACGACTTAATAACTAAACAAGAACAAGCTGCATCTTTGAGGCACATGGCCAACTTGTGAAAGGCAGGAACAAGCTGCATCTTTGATCAGGCATGCAATGAGGCACATGGCCAACTTGTGAAAGGCAGTGTGATTTACTACACTAATTAACAGGATTTTTACCATTCTGTTTTTGTAGGTTAGTTATGAAGCTTAAGATACCTATATATGGATGAAAAATAGATTAATGATTTCACAACATACTCCTCTTGAAAGCATAATAAAACCATTAGTGGACAATGGCCATAATCATGCTGGATATTTATGTGCATGCAAGAGAAATCATGGAAGTTATCCCAGTCAATGAACAATGTGCCTGTCGCAGGTTGATCATGTGCCTCATTGCATGCCATGTTACTTAGCTGTAATCAGTTAGTTAGCAACCTGTTAGTTAGCTGTACTCCAGCTAACAGTGCAGCACAGCGAACTAACAAGGATTGCAAGGAGAACAAACCTATCCATTTTGAAGGAAATCAACCCTGAGTGCTCCCTGGAAGGACAGATCCTGAAGCTGAGGCTCCAATACTTTGGCCATCTCATGAGAAGAGAAGACTCCCTGGAAAAGACCCTGATGTGGGGAAAGTGTGAAGGCAAGAGGAGAAGGGGACGACAGAGGATAAGATGGTTGAACAGTGTCATCGAAGCTACTAACATGATTTTGACCCAACTCTGGGAGGCAGTGGAAGACAGGAGGGCCTGGCGTGCTCTGGTCCATGAGGTCACAAATAGTCAGACACGACTAAATGACTAAACAATGACAACAACAACATAGCTGTAATTAGCACTGGGAACATCTGTAGTTCCTCTTGCACTTGAGTTCAGAGCAGCCCAACTGTCATTACTGTCTGTCACTAACGGTGACAAGCCAGGATATCCTAGTGAGGGAAGTCAGTACTACAATATGTCTGATTTTATGCCTCATGTTCTGCCTTCTCTCATAACTGGTATTAAGCCTCTTGTTGTATGTCTTATAGTATTTTGGTTCATTTATAACCCTGTTGTTGCTGGATTAAATTTAATTTTTCTATAAACCACCCCTAGAATAGTGCACTGCACTAGTGGGGTAGTATATAAATTAATGAAATAAAATAGAAGTTCTTATAGAAAAACACTGAATATTAGTCTCTGATTGTTGTCCAGGGACCCACAAGCCATTGTAATAGTGTATGTGAAGGTTAAACTGAATTGGTTAGTGAGCCAGTTGATCAGGATGGTGACACGGGGAGAGTGGGCAGAGTGAGCCCTGCAGCCTTACACTTTCTTGGAGGTTATCCTGGAATGCAGATGCCAGTTGTCCGCTTACTTATAAAGGTCTTATATGGGCTAAAAAGGTTCCCACCTTTTATTTTTAGTTACATGCTACTAGAGTGAAATCTTCCCACCAACAGCTAGATCTTAATATAGCCCTTCACATGGTGATTGTGGCTACCGGAGGACAATTTGAAGACTGAGAGGAACTACCATGGCTAAGGCCCAGCATATTCCTTACTAGGACACTAGGAAAGTATACCAGTAAGGAGTAGACCTTACTAGTAGACCTAATAGAACTAACTCCATTGCTTCCTCAAATGTCGCAAATGCTGTACGCGCTGCTCAGTGTTGCTATATTCCTTATTGTGTTAGCGCCCAACATGATCAGCAGCCTTGGCACTGCTGGAGGAGCAACAGAGTAGTCCTGGTGCCACCTTAGCCCCTTTTGATGCTGAAAGTGTGATAGCCTCCAGAATCAGCAGTGTTCTGTGTGCTATAGGACAGCCATTCTCGACCTTTTTTTAAACATGGCTATAAACACAATACGAAAGTACTATAGGCCGAATCAGGATTGTACCAGTTGAACCCTAAATCTTATAAGGTGGTGTGTCCAGTCTGTGGTCCTCTTCAAATGTGCCAGGGGCCGATATGGCCCCTGTTGAGAATGGCTGCTGTAGGAGGACAGTTTGAACAATAACCTGGTGTTGCTTAGCATCCATTTTGCTGCTCCATCTTCCTCTCTTCCTCCACTTCTTCGTGGTTCCTTTTTCCCCCCCACTGCTTCCTCAGGGTGCTTTCATCTTCTTAGGCAACTTTACTTGGCTCAAAGGCAACAAACGTTTCTGCCAAGATGTTTCTGTCTTCTTAAAAGTCAATAAATCTTTGTTATGATGGTGGGATTTCCAAATTCATTATGAATAGGTGAAAATTACCTATTGTACAGATTTCAGATGAGCAGTGACATAAAGTCTTTTCTTTAATGTAGAATTCTTTTATTCCATTTATGTTCTGTTTGCTTTGGTACACTACTCAGAACTCATCCTTTTTCTAAAGTGTACGTCTGAAGGAGGACATTCTTTAATAAAGCCACCATAAGTCGGAGATGACTTAATGGCACATCACATTTATGTGTCTTGTCATTTATGTCCTGCCTTTCAAGATGGACTATAGGCATGTAGTTCAGCCTGACATTAGGCCTGTTTATTGAATGGCTTTGGGTTTTTTTTTTTGGGGGGGGGAATAATCTAAGTTGCAAAATGGCCAGGAGTGTATGCTGCATTGGCTGCTGGCTTTTAATGTCATTGACCATGGTATACTTCCGGATCCCTTCCTTGAGATAGTACCTGGAAGGATTGTTTTACGATAGGTCTGGCCCTTCTTAGAGGGCCAGTGTCAGAGATAATAAGCTGTTGGCTTATTGTGTTGCTCTGGGGTTTCTCTTTTCCTCCATGATAAATGGAAGTGATGGCTGTGATTATCCTGCATTTTGGAATTTGTTATTAGTGCGCCCTCTCTTTTCCATGTACAACTGTGAATGCTAATTCAAGCTGTGAAGAGTGAGCAATAAGAGAAGCCTGTTGGATTTTCATGCTGGTGTAAGTGTGATGGCAGCAGCAAGTTTTTGATAGTTAATCAGTCACTGTTTGTATTCCTCATCATGTACCATCCCACACAGCTGGCACATAACAAAGAATGCAACCAGCAGCTTTTTTTATTTATTTATTTAGTAACAGGGATAGAGGGTACAAAAAGAAAGAGTCACTTCTGTGATTTACACTGGTGCACTAAGGGCATTTTCAACCTCTTTTTTTTTGGCCATAGCTATAAACACATTATGGGCTGAATCAGGATATTATGAGCTGCGTAACAAACCTTATAAGGTGGTGTGTGAAGAATTGTTTCTAGTCTGCGCCCCCTTTCACATCTGCCAGGGTCCCCCATAGGACCACCAAAACCAGTAGCAAATCCCCTTCCAACATTC